TAGTCGACATCAAGGGACTTAGTCCTACAACATGCATGCATCGCATACTTCTAGAGGAGGGGGCTAAACCAACTCGAGAGGCTCAACGCCGACTCAACCCTCCAATGATGGAAGTTGTGAAAAAGGAGATCATTAAGCTTCTCGATTGTGGGGTCATTTACCCAATTTCGGATAGTCGTTGGGTTTCACTGGTTCAAGTTGTACCAAAGAAATCAGGAGTCACTGTGGTAAAAAACGAAGAGAATGAACTTGTCCCGACTCGTATCCCAACAGGTTGGAGAGTTTGCATTGATTATAGGAAGCTCAATGCCACCACAAGGAAAAATCACTTCCCTTTGCTGTTCATTGATCAAATGCTTGAAAGGTTAGCCGGTCATTCTTTTTATTGCTTTCTTGATGGCTATTCGGGGTATAATCAGATTGTTATAGCCCAGATGACCAAGAAAAGACTACTTTTACTTGTCCGTTTGGTACTTTTGCCATTTGGTTTATGTAATGCACCAGCCACCTTCAAAGATGCATGGTAAGTATCTTTTCCGATTTCGTTGAGAAGATTATTGAGGTTTTCATGGATGATTTTAGTGTCTTTGGTGACTCTTTTGATGGCTGGTTAACTAATCTCACGTTGATATTAAAACGTTGCATTGAAACTAACCTTGTTTTAAATTGGGAAAAATGTCACTTCATGGTAAAACAAGGCATAGTTTTAGGACATAGTTTCAGAAAAGGGAATTGAAGTTGATAAATCAAAAATAGGTCTTGTACGCCACTTACCCTCTCCCACTTCGGTGAGAGAGGTTCATTCTTTCCTTGGTCATGTAGGATTCTATAGACGTTTTATCAAATATTTCTCGAAGATTTCAACACCCTTGTGCCGACTTCTACAAAAGGATGTGCCGTTTGTGTTTGATGACGAATGTGAGAAGGCGTTCAATCACCTCAAAGAATTGTTAACTTCGGCACCTATCATTGTTCCACCAGATTGGAGCCTTCCGTTCGAGCTTATGTGTGATGCTTCAGATTATGCTTTAGGGGCTGTTTTGGGACAACAGAAAGACAAGAAGCCACACGTCATCTACTACGCATCCCGAACCTTGAATGATGCTCAATTGAATTACTCCACCACTGAAAAAGAACTTCTTCCTGTTGTGTTTGCTTTAGATAAGTTTCGTTCTTATTTACTCGGTACTGAAGTTATAATTTACTCTGACCATGCAGCTTTGAAGTACTTACTCACAAAGAAAGAAGCCAAACCAAGGCTTATTCGCTGGATGCTTCTTCTTCAGGAGTTTGACGTGGAAATTAGGGACAAAATAGGATGTGAAAATGTAGTGGCTAACCACTTGAACCGTTTGGTACATGAAGAAGACCTTCTACCTATTCCAGAGGCATTCCCAAATGAACAATTGCTGACCATTGATCGGTGGGAGAGGTTCGTTCTTTCCTTGGACATGCAGGATTCTATAGACGTTTTATCAAAGATTTCCCAAAGATTTCAACACCCTTGTGCCGACTTCTACAAGAGGATGTGCCGTTTGTGTTTGATGACGAATGTGAGAAGGCGTTCAATCACCTCAAAGAATTGTTAACTTCAGCACCTATCATTGTTCCACCAGATTGGAGCCTTCCGTTCGAGCTTATGTGTGATGCATCAGATTATGCTTTAGGGGCTGTTTTGGGACAACGGAAGGACAAGAAGCACACGTTATCTACTACGCATCCCGAACCTTGAATGATGCTCAATTGAATTACTCCACCACTGAAAAAGAACTTCTTCCTGTTGTGTTTGCTTTAGATAAGTTTCGTTCTTATTTACTCGGTACTGAAGTTATAATTTACTCTGACCATGCAGCTTTGAAGTACTTACTCACAAAGAAAGAAGCCAAACCAAGGCTTATTCACTGGATGCTTCTTCTTCAGGAGTTTGACGTGGAAATTAGGGACAAAAGAGGATGTAAAAATGTAGTGGCTGACCACTTGAGCTGTTTGGTACATGAAGAAGACCTTCTACCTATTCTAGAGGCATTCCCAGATGAACAATTGCTGACCATTGAGGTAAGTGAGCCATGGTATGCTGATATTGTGAATTATATTGTGTCTAAACAAGTTCCAAGCACCATAACTATGCACCAACGTGATAAACTTAAAATAATTGCATGGTTTTATGTGTGGGATGACCCTTATTTGTGGAAATATTGCCCTGATCAAATTATTCGTAGATGTGTGCACGATTCTGAGTTTAATTCAATCTTAACCTTCTGTCACACATATGCATGTGCGGGTCACTTTGGTACACAACGCACAGCACTTAAGGTTTTAGAATGTGGATTTTATTGGCCTCCTATCTTTAAGGATGCTAGAATTTTTTGTATGACTTGTGATCGTTGTCAAAGAACGGGCAATATAGGTGCAAAAGATCAAATGCCGCAAACCCCTATCTTTTCTGTTGAGATTTTTGATGTTTGGGGTATTGATTTCATGGGCCCTTTTCCTTCTTCACATGGTTTTAATTATATCTTACTTGCTGTGGATTATGTTTC